TGTTGTTGTGGTTGTTGTTGTTGTTCAGCTGGTTTTGCAACAACACTCCAAGGTTCTGGTTCATTTGCTCAAGAGCTCTCAACCTTGCAGCAAGTTGTTCGGGAGTCTCGGCCATTTGTGCAATTCTTCTCCAACGAGACCTAGTGTAAACGTTGTAATTTTGCGTACACAATCACCACAATTTCAACACTGGTGTTACCACCATACACATTTTAACACAATTTATTTAGATCGTGTGAATTGCAATTAAATTAACAACCACATTCTTTCATGTAACACATCATTAGTACATATAGACAAGAATTAAGCAATTATTAAATCTCGATAACATTCATAGAGTCGGCCAATTTCCAAAACAAATAATGCATCAACTTAGCATTAGACTATAGATTCGCGCATTGCTTTAGTGATCCCACTATAATCCAACCCAGTCATTACTATACTTGACTAAAGTAAGCACAAGAAAATAAGATTTTTGTTTTATATAAATACAATAGAAAAAAATGAAATTATACTACTTTATTAAGTCAACATAAAATGAAAATTCATAAATATGTTTATCAAAAACTATTTTATTGCAAAACCAAGAGAGAATGAAAATCATCTTTAAAAAAACATACTAGCTAGTTCTAATTAGTTCAATAAACTACTAGTTACAAATAAACTAAAACTATACTATAGTTTCTAATCATAAGAAACTAGCTTTTATTTGTAAAATTATTTTAAGAGTTTTTAACTAAATAAGCTAAATGCGACTTAAAAAAAAATTCAATCATCATTTTCTCCTTGACTCTCACGAGCTTCATTTCCCTGAGGCTCCTCATCATCATCATCATCCAAGTTATAGTCATATTCCCGCTTAGCTTCCATCATCGCCTTCTCGAGGTATTCCATAGTAAGGATCCATCTTCCATTATAATAGTATTTATCATTTGGTTGACCTTCAATGTAAAATCAGCATACTTCCTCTTAAGTTGAGAATAGGGTCCCCTCACGCGTAGTGTGTGTAAAAGAATTTGAGATCGTCTCTCCGGAGTGAGGTAATCAGATTGGCCCTCAAGTACATTGTAATGAAATTGTTTGTTTCGGGGTTTTTTTTGTGTCCTGCGGGAGAGTTACAGCACTGGGAATGTACGCCTGACTTCTGTACCTGCAAAACCACGAAACTCCAGTTGGGTGGAGTTCCGCCTCCGAAGATCAAGTTAGTATGATTTCGGATGAGTAAACGGGCGAAAAGTAAATGTGTTTTTCTCACTGATTCAGAGAGATATCGCAATTAATATTGCTTGGGTTTCGTGTATGTATTTATTAATTGGCCATAAATGAGGATTGTTCCCCTATTTATAGTGGGGGAGGCATGTTCCCTAATTATGGTTTTGATGTCACGTGTCAGCATTTGGTTGGATCCCGCTGGGCCTCTGGTGGGCTGCCACGTGTCATCATACTACTAGGCCACGTGGCATAGGGTATTTTAACCCTAAACATTTGCCCCTCACAGGTGTGACGTGGCGTAGCCACGTGTCACCTGTGACAGGTGTCAAGCACAGGGGAGGCGACGATTGAGTTGTTTCCCGCCTTTCTCTCTTGGATTCAAATTTTGAAAATTTGAGGCAGAAGGTGGCGATTCGCCTTTTGGGCTTGTCTATAAATAAAGACATCCCCCCCCCCCTCTCTCCTCACTTTATAAATTTTGCAAAAATTTCTTGAGAGCTCTGACACCGGCTGCTAATTTGTGCAACCAGCTTCTTCATTCGAACGCATACGGATACCGGTTGAGGGTTTCTTCAATTAACTCACCCAGGTACCGTATGACTTGATTTTCTTCTTAGGTTGAGTAGAACCACATACGGTCTTACACCGTCTAGGACTCCATAAGGACTTCATGTTTTGCATTTGGTAGACCCATAGACGGTAATAGGCCGTCTGGGGTATCTTCAAATCATGGCCTTCAAAAACAGACCCTCAGACGGTAATAGACTGCCGGAGGTGTCTTCATTCAAGGGACTTCCGATAATATATTCCATAGGCCCACAGACGGTGATATACCGCCTGTGATATTTATGAACAATTGTCTTCTGGGAATTGCATTCAAAAGACCCACGGACGATAACATGTCGTCTGAGGCTTCTTCAGACCAGTATCATTTTGCATCCAATAGACCCTCACCAGATATTCCGCTTGGGTCATCTTCCAACAATTGCTCATCATAACTTACATCTCATAGACCCTCAGCCGGTGAATGATCGTCTGGGGTACCTTGAAACAAGGATCACCAATTCTAGACCCTCAGACGATTTTGGACCGTCTGGAACATCTTCAGATAATTTCTTTTCAAAACTAGGCCCACAGACGGTTATGTACCATCTGGGTTATCTTCAAGCTAATGTTCAAGACTTGGATCCCTCGTACCCTCAGGCGGGCACATACCGTCTGGGGGATGGTCAAGCAATTGTCTTCATAGCTTGCTCATGACCTATTTTTGTAACACCCTCAGCCGGCTATCATTCCGTCTGGGGGGTCTTTGAGCAACTCTCCTCAATTACCGCTTGAGGTATCCTTGGAGATTTTCAATAATCATTCCATGGACCCACATCCGGAAATGTTCCGTCTGGGGAATTTCTGGATGATCTTTATTGATCCCGCATGGGGCATCTTTGAATGAAACTTTGTGATACCATTTGAGGTGTCTTCAAGCAAGCTTCCTGGATACCGCCTGGGGTATCTTTGAATGATTTTCTTCCAAAATGCCTGACCGTTTGTATTTGTGCTTTAGGTTTTTAAAACGCAAACGGACTTCTCTGCCTGTGGCATCTTCAAGCCACTCCTTGGAATCTCAACACTCAAGTCTTCTTCAACCGTTCTCACAAAATCAAGGTATTACCTTTGCCCCCTTGTAACCTCTTGAGTTTACCGGTTGTATAGGTTAGAGAATAATGGACTCTCCCAATACACACACGGCACGGCCTAGGGCAGTTGTCAACCAGTCACCGGATACGGCTGAATTTAGGACTGGGGATGCCGTCTGGGGGTGTATGGTACACCCTTACTTTTCTGTGAATTCGACCGTCTTTGTTCATGTGTAGGACAGAATGGCTCGGACAAGGAAAACAGATTTTGATCCCGTGTACAAGTCAGATGATTCAGCCAAAACGCCGGTTGAAGACGTTCCCTTTGATCAACCAGGCGTTCCAAGTACCCATGGTGATGAGATTCTGGAAGATTCTGGGAGCTCAGGCGGTATGGGAGCTGATCAAGAATTCGGATCTACAGATTCAACTATGACGCCGGATGCCCCTCAAAATGATGAGGAGGCATATAATTGGCCTACAATAAACAATCCGATGGAGGCGCATATGAGCACCCGGGATGTTGTAACGTTAAACGCAACACTCCCGGCATTTTTGGAAAAAACGACCGGTTGAGGAGGACTGGGAGGTTGGCGTGCCGCCAGCTGATGCATTAGTCGTCTGGGAAGACGACCTTAGACATGTTGATAACTACTTTGGCTGCTATGAGGCGGCATTCAAAGCTGGCCTCCGGTTCCCTCTACACAGATGTGTCAAGGCCATATTAAGAGGCTATGACTTGGGGATCTGGCAACTTACACCCAACTCATGGGTCAACATTTTGGGGTATATTGCCGCCTGCGAAATGCAAGAGGTGACGCCTAGCTGGGAGGCGTTTGCCCACATGCACTATTTAAGCAGGGCACCGGGTAGCTGGAATGCGTGGTAAACACTAACAACGCACCCGGAATATATGATGACCTTGGAAAGCCCTCCAAGTGGACCAGCTGGAAGAGCAAGTTCTACTACGTCTCTTCCCCATCTACGGCTGCTAATCACCGGATCGCTGTTACAACAAGAACCCGGTTCTGCTAGGGAAAAAGTGCGCCCTTCCCAGGGTACCGGCTGAGGCTTGGGATTCCATAATGGAGCCGGGACTATTTAAGAAAACAACTGAGCCATTGGATGATGGGACACAAATCATTGTCCCTAAATTCTGGGTCCCTCATCCGGACTGGTTTAGAAACGAGGTGTTCCTCTCCGCCTGGCCTCAGCACCCTTTGGGACAAACGTAGGTTTACTCCTTAACCGACATGTTGTGCCGCTTGTATGATATTTGAATGCTTCTCACATTTTCCTTTGTTATTTTGCAGAAAAAGGACTCGAAATGACTCCTCCTGAAATGACACCGGCTTAGTTTGCAGCCGAAGTAAGGAAGGAGCAGTTGGAGGCTGAACGGGCCCAGCTGGCGGCCAGGGCTGGCAGGGTAATTACCCGCTGACTTCTATACCACCTGCATATCTTGTTAATTATTTTGATATTAACTTTTGATTTCTTATCTTTTGCAGACGGGGAGCCAAAACGTGCCCCGCTCAATAAGACAAATGGTCAGGAGACCAGGAGAGGAACTCCCGCAACCGACCTCTCAAAGGCGAAGGACCTCAACTGGCCCCGCCCCAATCTTAGCCGGCGAGAGACCCACGACTGCAGGCAAAAGTTTGCAAACCCCAGGTGGAAGCTCGGGTCCGGCTGGGGCAAGATCTAGGGAGCCTGTAGTTCCCTCGGGCCGGGTGCCTGCTATTGCATCCGGCTCTACTGCGGCTGGGGGTGGTGGCACCCCGCGGCCTGAAAATCAAGGTATGGATTTCACTTTTGACCCCCCCTGGCCGTTTGGGCCAGTTCGAGTCAAGTCTCATACTTCTCAATCAAGAGAGACCTCCGGCGACCAGCTGAATATAGGGGACGCCTATGCCCAACACTTAACCAATGTCTCTCATGATGCAGATACTGCTTCCCATTTTTTGGATATGCAGAATTATGCCCGGCGAATGCTGAGGACCCTTACCCGGTCTGAGAGGGAAGAAGTGTCGGGTATCAACCAGGTCAATCTTGACCGGATTAACTCTCTACTTGCTAAGGTAAAAATACCGGATGGGGTACTTTTGTTCAAAATTACTCTTTGTTTATGACTGACACTAACTCCTTTTCCGGATAATGAAAACCCCCTTGCGGAAGAAGCAAGAGGAAGTAAGGGATGCCCAGAAACGGGCAGCCAAATTACTTGATGTATGTCAATACAACTCCATAATGCTTGAAGTCAAAACTAAAGCAAGAGAGATGAAACAGGAGGAACTCATCCGGGAGCTTACGAATGCTGCTGACAATGCCAACAAAGCTGCTGAGGACTGCAAGGTCGAAATGGATCAGCTCAAAGCAGACATCAACAATTTGAAGGAGGCTGACAAGGAGAGGGCTGGTCTAAAGGACGAGGTCACTCGGCTGGGGAATGACCTGGAACAGGCGAAGGGCGAGTTGGTAAGAACCAAAAAACAACACCTAAACTAGCTATCGGTTGAGCAAAACCGGCTGGTGGTCGAGAATGAGCGCGACTGTGAAGCAGGCATGAAGATGGCATGGTCCATGATCCACCCGGATACCGACTTTGCTTACTTCAACTTCAGGTACAAATACGCTACCGAAGTATTTGATGCTCAAGTTCTCAGGCTACCACAGCCGGCTCCTTTCGATGAGTGGGACAGCTTGGAGGAGGAGCAAGCGGCAAAGACTGTGCCGGGTGAGGCAAGAGAGGCCCAAACCCTAGAAACTCATGGTACCCCTGCAGCCGGCCAAGACCAGCCGTCAGAGCAGCAGCAACCAGAACAGCAACAGCAACAGCAGCAGCAACCATAGCTTTTTATAAAGAATTTCATCCGGCCTGCGAGCCGTGTAGCCTTGTATAGGCTAACATTGAGATTTTAATATATATGTAAGAGTATGCCGACTGTGTCGGTTTTTTATCACTTTCAATTTTTCTTTTATTTTTGCAACTTTTTAATTATCGCAATTTTGTTTTGCATGCACTCGTGATATGCCGGATGTATCAGCTATGTATGCCCCTGGATGGTTGGTTTCTTAACTGCTATGTCTAAGCAGGCAGTCGTTCATAGTTGTCCGGTAGGTGTATACAACAGGTTTGTCCGGCTGCAGGCAGGCGGCCTTGGACCGGACGCATGCGTTGTGAATACTTATTAGCTATGAAACAAGGTCTGGCCTTGTATCTGGCATCTTGGCCGGCTCTATTGCTTTCTTGCAAAAGCCGGTCGCGAACTTATCAATACAGAAGCTACCGCCTGTAATGCGTTGGGGGATATAGCAGGTTGTAACTTATGAAGCTATTATCCGGTTGTATTGCCTTAGGACAATAACTAGTTGTAGCTACGACCAAGATTGTCGGCTGTATTACATTGGGGCAACAACCGGTTGATATTTTTACGATATGGTTTCGTAGTTAATAAAAATTAAACTTTAGGAGAAAAGCGGGGTCCGGCTGTGATGCTTTTGGGAAAAGCCGGCTGCTGAACAAGATTTTATAAACTTGTATTGCCTTGGAGCAATAGTTGGGTGTATCTCGTTTGCAATAGGTCATTCAAACATGCGTGGGTTATCTTTAACCTATCTGGTTAAAGCCGTTTGAGTTCATGATGCTCGAATTTTATCAGCATGAGAGAAAGGATGATGACAGCTTTGGACTCGTTGAGGGTTGGACGGCCCAATATGAGGTTGTAGGCAGTCAATTCCTCAACCACCAAAAATTTGACGACCATGTGTCGTCCTTCCCCTTTACCTTCCAGTCGGATGGGTAGGTCAATCCAACCCACCAGATGCACTACCCCACCTCCAAAGCCGACCAGGGGGTGGGGAGCCTTGTGCATGCTGCTGGGCTTGTTCTTGAGCTTCGTCAAGCAACGATAGCTAATCAGGTCAGACGAGCTCCCGGTATCAATTAATATCCGGCCAACTCTCTTATTGGCAACTTTACATTCGATGACGATTGGGTCATCGTGGGGCCGCCTGACCGTACCCCTGTCCTTCTTAGAGATGAAGGCCTCAGGGAAGGTGTCTTTCGACGCCTGGCCCTCATCCTCTGAGCTGGACAACTTCCTGATGTTGTCCTTGGCACCCCGGATGGTGGGACCCCCGCTAGCAAAGCCGCCTGCAATGGTGTAGATGTGTTCTTCATCAGTGTCAAAGCTTACAACCGGCTATTTTTACGGTTGTCCACCGGAATTAGGATTACCCTTGGGCTTTGTCATATAGGACTTCAGAGCCCCCTCATCAGCCAGACGGTCCAATAGCCGCCTGAGGCTGTAGCAACCATTGGTGTCATGGCCAATGTCCTCATGGAATTGACAATACTTGCTCTTGTCCCGACTTTTGACAACGCTCTTCAAAGGAGCCGGTTTCTCAATAGTAAACCGGATTTTTATCTCCATGAGGATGGAGGAGCAGTCCTTGTTGAACTCGTACTTGGGGTCGTACGGTTCCAACTTGTTTTCCTTTTTCTAGGACAACTGACCTGGGCGGTCAGCTGCCCAGACTTCTTTTCTTTTCTTTTCTTCTCTTTTGGCCGACTGTTGGGGATGAGTGTTTGATGGCACAGAGCTCCGTCGCCTGTATGTAGGCTTCAGCCTCCATTAGTGTCTCCTAGAGGGTAGCAACCCTCTTGCGGACCAAGTCGAACTTGAATGTTGACCCGTCCTTCAGACCCTTGAAGAAGTCTTTGTATGCAACTTCGTCAGACATTTCTTGTATCTGAATTCTCATCAAATTGAACCGCCTGACATAGGACCGAAGTCCCTCCTTGTCTCCCTGCTGGATAGCCCCTAGATCGAGACTTGTCTTCTTGGCAGGGATGTTCATGGAGAAGTTTGACGCAAACAGGTATGCAAGCGTCTTGAAGTTATTGATGCACCCAGCCGGCAGGTTGCCGAACCACCGTTGGGCTATGCCCTTCAGCGTTGCTGGGAAGCATCGACATCAGGCGGCATCATCCAACCCCTGTAGGTACATGAGGTTGGTGTATGCCATCAGTTGGTCTTCCGGGTTGGTGGTACCGTCGTAGGTACCCACCAACACGTTCTTAACCTTGGCCGGCTGTGCCGCCTCGGTTATTTCCCGAGAGAAAGCCGAAGGCTGTTCCCTTAGGTTTAGCAGGCGGAGCTGTCAGTCCATGGGTTGGACTGTGTTTGCCGCCAGTCCTCTAAAGGGAGACAGCTGCATGTAGGGTGATCCGGTTCCGTATGGTTGTTAAGGCACATATGGGACCTGATGGATCACATGAGAAGCAGTACGAATGGACGTGCCGCGTGACTGGCTCCTTGGGTTTGTTTTCGAATGCTTCATTGAAGTATTACGGAAACTGTCTGGGTAGATCGACGTAGAAGCCGACTGAGACATGCTCTGACTTCTCTTCTCCTAGACGAACATCCGGGCGTCAGAGAAGGTCTTCTTTGACCCATCCGGCTGTACCTGCCGGATGGCCTTTCGCTGCCCAGACTCAGGAAAGCGAATCTTTGAGAGATCTATCAGGGGCCCATCCGCCCCCTTGGGCTTGGGGTGAGGAGTAGGCACCCGGTCTTTGATTGGCTTCTTCCTAGAAGCCTTCTTAGCCGACTGACCCTTGTTGGGGCAAACGGACTTCTTGATTATATCCTTGATCTCCCCTTTGAAACTCGTCATGAGTTTCATGAGTTCGTCTCTAGTGACGGGGGTTGTGCCCTCCAAAGCCTGAGGCTGCCCATGGTGCTTGGCGCCTGGGTTGCTTGGACCAACTTTGTCCTGGCCTCGTTCCTTTGTTTATTTGGAACGGAGGCGCCTAGAACGGAATGACCCGTCTGGGGCCATGTAGGTGTCGACTTCATAGTCGTCACCACAGTCATGGTCCGTGTGGACCTCAGGGCCAGTCATGGGCCGGCTACCCTCTGTAGTTGGTACATTATCAGATGTCATCTCAGTGGTACTCTCCCCACAGACGGCGCCAAATGTTTCGGGGTTTTTTAATGTGTCCTGCGGGAGAGTTACAGCACCGGGAATGTACGCCTGACTTCTGTACCTGCAAGAGCACGAAACTCCGGTTGGGTGGAGTTCCGCCTCTGAAGATCAAGTTAGTATGATTCTGGATGAGTAAATGGGCGAAAAGTAAATGTGTTTTTATCACTGATTCAGAGAGATTCCGCAATTAATATTGCTCGGGTTTCGTGTATGTATTTATGAATCGGCCATAAATGAGGATTGTTCCCCTATTTATAGTGGGGGAGGCATATTCCCTTATTAGGGTTTTGATGTCACGTGTCAGCATCTGGTTGGATCCCGCTAAGCCTCTGGTGGGCTGCCACGTATCATCATACTATGCGCCACGTGGCATAGGGTATTTTTACCTTAAACAATGTTCAATGCAAAGATTCAAACGGTAGACATAATGTCGAATGTCTTCATTATACTTCATACGGATCACATAGGGAGAATCGGGTAATACATTTGTACTCTTCTTAGCACTAGAGTTTCTTGCAGTTCTACGTTCTCGTACCATCGTCTAAGAAAATAAATAACCACATCATAAGTACTTAATAAAGTACTATAAAACACATAGATCCCTTATCGTGATTCCCACACTCACGGCTTTCCTAAGCTTAAATCAATTTACAAAACTTATATATACAGTATTAAACCTAAGTCTTTAATTTAATTCATTTTAGTCCCTAAATTTTGAAAAACCTTGGCTCTGCATACCAATTTGTAACACCCCCAATATTCGGATCTTTGTAAAATGATAAGATTAACCTTTTTACCTTTCAAAAACAACCATCGAACCTTGGGAGTGTTACTGCTACACTTATTTTCCGTAGAAAATAAATGCAAAGCAAAACAAAATACCATTTTATAAACTAAGTGATCTAAGTGACGACAAAGATAAAATAGTCGTTACATCCAAACTGTAAAACATTTTAAACAAAACATTAATTAACGAGGAAATAAATAAGTTCGGAATTAAACTAAATTGTCTTAGCTACGTGATTATTCTAATGTTTCCTCACACGTAACCGAGTACTCTCTTACCAACCTGCAAAATAAATCAGAAACAAGAAAAGAGATAAAACTCCCAAAATCAGATAAACTAAGTAATTCCAACCCCATCCCGTAAAATAATTAATTCTGGTTAAAAAAAAACATTTTATACAACATAATTCTATCGACATTATAATAATAAGTCAAAATCAAGTTGTCACATAAAATTTATTACTTTAGTTAAGAAAGGGAAAGAGAACGCCAGTAAGCCGGGACTAGTCCCTGTCACCACCTACTTTACAGAGGGTCGCGTGTAACCCTAAATGGCCATAAATTACAACAGAATGTCCCTAGTGTGCACACCCCTCACTAATACCCATCGATTAGGAGGAAGACTAAACAGCAATATACGTCAATTTAAACCAACTAGTAGCAACCATAACTACTAGTGGGCAACCTGTTCTTCACCCTTTCGGGTAAAATTTCCTTTCTTAATTTTAATGTACATTTAATAGATTAAATTGTCCAATCACATTGCACACGAGTATTGCACGAATCAATTTAATCCCAAGTGACAGTATTTCAATTTCAATATTATTATAACATAGTCATTTTACATGACATACTAGTTACAACTCGTTTCCCAATAGGCCTTGGAGACCGTCAACCACATATAATCAATAGACCAACTCCGAAGATTTTATTTTAAAAAAAAATACTTAAACGATACCAATTAATCAAATTTTCGAAAATAGTTATACTAGTTCACAATTATAGAAAACTAGTATATAATTTGATTCCACAACTATCATACAGTAACACACTCATCACATATAAGTACACAA